ATTTCTTCAAATATTTCAATTTAATATTTCAAACAACTTCACAACATACAAAATGAATTATATTAATCCAGAACACGTCAATGAATAAATTTTATATATTTTTTATATATATCTTTTCATCTTGTGTGGATAAAAAAATAAACAGCAAAGCTTTGACAACAGCACCTTGACATAGTATGTATTTCCAACATTAACTTGAGAAGTTGAGGATAGTAAACAGACAGAGTACTGAGAGGAGGAAATCCTGTTACGGTTGAGAATGTAAACGGAATGTTTTGGTCGGAAATCGTTTCCTTGTTTTCCCAAAGTGGACAGTTTCTCAATTCACAATTGAAGCAGCATGCAAGTTTTTTTTTTTTTTTTTAACTCAAACTTTATTGACATTGGGTTTGTTTTTCAGTTGCCTATAGTAATTTTATTTCTTCAAATATTTCAATTTAATATTGCAAACAACTTCACAACATACAAAATGAATTATATTAATCCAGAACACATGTCAATGAATAAATTTTATATATATTTTATATATATTTTTTCATCTTGTGGGGATAAAAAAATAAACAGCAAAGCTTTGACAACAGCACCTTGACATAGTATGTATTTCCAACATTAACTTGAGAAGTTGAGGATAGTAAACAGACAGAGTACTGAGAGGAGGAAATCCTGTTACGGTTGAGAATGTAAACGGAATGTTTTGGTCGGAAATCGTTTCCTTGTTTTCCCAAAGTGGACAGTTTCTCAATTCACAATTGAAGCAGCATGCAAGTTTTTTTTTTTTTCTTGAATGTAATTCTTCCTCACCCCCTCCTCTCCTCATCTCTCAAAATCTTGGCAACGTAAAAAACACAATGTCTTGAGGAATGTGGTATAGTAATTTGAACTGGGCGCGAATGACTGATCAGATCTTTTTTTAATTGTTTACAAGATCATGAATATGTTCAATAAATAGACTGTAGTATCACTTTTACTGTATAAACTTCATCTTTTTTACATGCAGTCCATAAAATTTTTCATCTGACGGAATAATTTACCCTGTTATGTATATATACAAATAGATATTTTCTTTTTTCTCTCTCTTTTTTAGAACTCTCAATAAAATCTATACATTGTGTACACTATCTGCCCCTCTTAATGGTCAATGTGCATACACACGAAGTGTCTATCCGTATAAACCGCCAGCCGATCTTCCTTTTGCTATCCATGGTAAGGGCTCGCACGTAAGACTGGGTTGTCCGGCATTGCGAGTTATAGTGCCGCTTGTCTATTCCTCGGCAGCCCTCCTTTGTGTACCCTAAGGGGTTGCATTTGGTCTCATAAAAGTATTGCTTCAGCTGACCGTTAGTCACGGGGACCTTCTCCAGGACGGTGACCGTCTGGCCCGACATGTCTATGGCTGTCTTTTTGTCCAGAGCCGTCACCCACTGGCTAATACTGTCACAAACGCTGAGCTCCCCTCGCCGCACGGGGTCCGAGTGCCGTCGCACACGCATTGACATGTTGGCGGCGTCCAGGTAGTTTTTGTATTCCTCCAAGAGAAAGAGTAATGGCGGCTCCAAAGGCACTTGGTTGCTGATCATCACCCGCGAGGCGTACATGTCAACGTCCTTCGAGTCAGGCATGGCTGCGGGACCACCCCCTCCTTGGCCCTGGTCGGCCCTGGGGTCCAGTTGCTGCGTCGCTTCTCCTTCCACCTCAAGCAACTCCTCAATCACCTGCTCGAAAGTGTCCGTGAGCGAGGGCAGCCCGCCCCCACTCTGTGGAGTCCCGTGGCCTCGGCTGCCTGAGGTGACGGCAACGGCGCCCAGGTAGCCCTCGGCCCGGTGGCCCCCCTGCACGCCCGGGATCTCTCTCATGGGCGCAGCTCTCATGCAACTGAAGTATGAAATAACCATAGTAACGAACAGGATGGTCATCACTCTTCTAACCTGTTGGAACTGGAGACAGCAAAAGGGGAAAGACAATAGGGATGGGGGGAGTGAGGAAAGGGGAGGGAAGAAGAGAAAACACAACGTAAAGCAACCATTTCCATTCACCATGCTGCAATAAACATTACATTAAACACATTTATTAATGGCCTTGTGCTATTGTGCCCAATGAAATTCACAAATCATTTCCATAATGTGATAAAAAAGTAAGACACAAACAAAACGTGCCAACTTGTTTTTTCTTTGTTTCATTTCTTTTTAGTTACTGGCCCACGGGAGCACAACTAACACTGCGTGCTTTCTCCGTCCCTGCACACACACCTGCATGTTTGTGCCCCCCTTCCCCACACCAGCAAATGCAGTGGGCTAAATTCAGAAACCCTGGAGTATCATTAAGAGGACACGAGAGAACTGCTCCCACTCTCCTCCGTCTCTCTCTTCCCCTTCCTTTCCTCCTTCTCGCTCTCCTACTCCCTTGCCTCCTCTGTTCCCTTAGAGGTGTGTAAACTGCTTGTGTGAGTATCAGACGGAACAGATATAGGTGACATGCAAAGCCTACTAAAAAATGACAGAACAGCTTCTATCATCAAGGTTTTTCATGAGTAATTCAATATTGGATTAATTTTACTTTACATTTTGATATTATTAAAATAATATATAATTGTTACTACTAAAATCATAAAATGTTCTTATTTTTTTAACTATTAATTTCTGTTTAGAATATTTGAGTTATACATGAGTTATATACTTCCCAAATATATAACAACATCTAAACTTCTCTGGAATCAGCTGAGCAGAATTAATTTGGAAGAAGGTACCCACACAATAGGGTGATGATTATCTTTCCCACTAAGAGAGTTAAAAACTGAAGGAGATAGAGAGATAAGGAAAGACAGTAAAAATGCAGAGAATGATTTGAAATGGAGTGATCAGAGAAAGATACATAGAGAAGAAGAAAGGCAGAAAGAATTGAAAAAGACGCCAGTCATTCATTCACTCATTCATACCTACACACAAACTGCAATGTTCTAGTCAATGACATTTTCCTGACTACAAAAACAATGCAACTAAATGAAAATTCCAGGAAACTGTGAACCTATTTGATTCCTCCTCTCTCCCTTCCTCTCTGCAGCTTTCTCTTACCTCTCTGAAGTCCCTCTATGAATCACTGCAATTCATTGCATCCAACGGCATCCCAGCGCATACGAACAGACAGGGGAACATGCATACACAACAACAAAAAATACCCATTACTCTCACTTTTCGAAGGAGAAGGAGAAGTGGAGAGGTAGGCGTGGGGAAAGGGGGGTGGAGGGGGGTGCATTTAAAAATATCCGGCACCGCAGCAAGGCTTCGCCAGTTCTCTGTGTGCTGTCCTCCTGATGCCCCACGCAGCCTCAGGAAGAGGCAGAGGGAGGATCCGCTCCCAGAGCAGAAGGCAGTACGGGCCGGTAGGAGAGATGGAGGGACACGCCCTGTCTAAAAGGCATTTGTTTCATTCTTAATTGGTGTCTGGGGCCACGGCTGCGATTTGCTAGCGCAGCGATGACTGCCATGGAGATGTGCTTTCTATAAATAGGCCAGTTGGGAGTCCCACAGTCTCGATTCAGAATATCACAGCCCTTTACTTAATGAGCTCAAAGTCCCCTCGCTCAGTGACGTTGCAGTCCACGAGGGGTGTGTGTGTGTGTGTGTGCGTGTGTGTGTGAGCGTGTGTGTGTGTGTTTGGCTAGTGAGATGAGGTGGGAGCTTCACAAAGCAGTTTTTTCATCTGCAGCAAGAGCAAGTTCTGCCCTTTTCTTCTTTACCTTGCCATAGAATATGGCCGTGCTCACTGATGTAATGTTACCTGTATTCATATTTAATCAAAAGTAAAATTGCCATTTCAATTTGATTATATCCATAATACAAATACCATTAACATACGACTAATCAACATTATATCACTAGTATTAATGTTGTTATTGTTACAGCTTAACAAATTGCAGCTGACCTTGCTAGCTAGCTAAACTATTGTAATAATGTCATTCCACTATTGCACAGTGTTGCCGCTTGGCAACACATACATTTGAATGATTTACCAAAAACGAATTTTATAAAAACTTTTTTGAGAGGTGAATATGTCATCATAACATCATAACAGTGATGTTTTAGATTTTTTTGTAGAAGTGACACGGACTGGTCCTTGTTTGTTACTGACGTTTTAGTTTGCTTTCAGCAACTACCGACAAGAGACGGCAGTCTGTCAGAAATCTCGCCACAGAAAAAAAACTGCATTTCATGTGACTTAATCAAAGCACATCATTGGCTAAACTAAGGTCTTCTCTTTCCAACAAAAAAAACGAGAATGTTCTCTTCAAGAGACAGTGGCAAGGAAATGAACACAAAGAGTATGTTGCCATATGGCTACACCATGCGGTAGAGGGTTAAATATATTACAAAGCTACACGGCTCGAGTTATCATGTAAAAGGGCAAAGGTCAGTTATTGTTGACTACTGAACTTTGGTGCACATCACTGGCTAAATTGTATCTTTCCCTCCTAATTAGACTAGAGCACCGGTGTGTAGTTGTGTGGCAGGGGGTGGAGGCCAAGAGCACAACAACCCTAATGACGTCTCTCTGGTCTCAAAGGGAGATGAGAGGAAAAGGGCGGTGGGGCTAGAAGGAGTGGTGCTAGGGGGCAGTGCCACCCATCAGCTCGCAATTGCTTTCCATTTTCCTCTGGGGTCCCTTCTCACCAGGAACAACAAACAATTTTATTTCTAACTCTGCTATTTCCTGTTTCCATCAAGAGAATCAATATGGATTATGCTCTCAATCAACTTCCTGTTAAAATGTAATCTAGACGATGAATCACTTTATTGCTCTGGGACTGAGTTGGCAATTACTGAGACCTTCTGTCTCATTCAAAGTAGCGAGGGAAGACAAGATTACCTTGACGGACATGTTTGTTCTGCTTTTAATATGCGTGTGTTTGAGCTGCGCATAATAATGCGATATCAATATCCTGTCATCATATGGTATGATGTGCAAACATGAGTTGTGTTTGTGTACACAAGGCAGTACAGGTGTTTTTATGGGTCAAAGAAAGTGAGTGGTAATGCGGTTATAGCCGCAGCAAAAAAATAATCTCTTCATGGTTCCAGGTGTGTTTAAATGTCTAAAATAAAGAAGAGGACTTTCATGGTTGATGCCGAAATAATCCGTTCAACTGTCATGTAAACAAAGCTGCTAATTCATGCTTTTTGTGCCCCATTTGTTAGACCTTTGAAGCCAGATTCATTAAAAGGCATTGAATAACCAACAAACAAGGTTTCCATCAATCAACCCTCTCACATGAGAAACCATCCAGACTTCAGTGATCTTTCAAGCTTTCTATCTACAAAGTAAGGTGCTGAAGGCTTGATGTAATACTTCATCCACACAGCTGTATTTGATCCATATGGTCAGGGCTTGGTAGGAGCACGTTCAAACGCCTTTCACTGTAAAACATGATTGTACTTTAATTGGGCATGAGTGGCAGCTCTATGGCTTTGTCAAAAAGACCACATGCACCTGCTCAATTGTTTGGAAAGGGGCAGGCAGGACAGGATAGGTTGGTCTGCATGATCTTGATCCCCCCCACAACTGTATTAGCTTAAATCTTCATGCCATGGAGGGATTAAGAAACAAAACCACTCTTGACAGATGCATAAGGTTCTTCCAACTTAACAGAATTGTGGTAAGAGATACTTGTCTGTTAGTTTTAGCACTCTAAAGGAAAATGAAAAAGGCATTCACTCCTTAAGGACAAAGATATTTAACAATGCATGATTAAATATCTGAAAAAAAGAACAAAAAGGTTGGGGAAAATGTTTGTAGCATGAGAAAAGATTTTAGATTGCTTTGGTGTACTTGTGTCAATGACAAGAACACTGTAGTGTGCATCACCTAAGCTCACACAGGTGTCTCAGCTGTTAATTATTATTCTGACTTTGAGGACACATTAAAATGTAGAATCCATAATAGTTACAATCTGGCATTAGTGGTAACATAACAAAAGACAACTGCAAAAGAACTCTCTCTGTTCATCTATGGTGAAATCTGTGTTCTCAAATGCAAGGTTTTTCAAGAGGTTTAGTTGATGCTTGTTCAAGGAGTTCAAGACCTCTAACTTGTCTAACTCAAACTGTATAAATAATGTTAAAGGTGCAATGTACAAAAGCAACCAGCGTGATGAACACCCAAATATGCTTGATTTGCTGAAAGGATAGTTCTAGTTAACACAAAAATTGTCATGATCTTTAACGAAACTGCATTTTGAGAAAGGTAAATTGATGCAAACTCTCAACATTACAGAAATTTGTATCAGTATACTGCTGAAAACAAAACAAAATATGTATAAAACACTAAAAGGAGAGAGACTGAAACTGTTTAGATTAAGTGTAATTCATGTGATGGGGGTGTTATGCCTTATTTAAAAGTTATTTTCCCAAGTATATATATATATATATATATATATATGTTTCAATAGGGCTTTTTTTTTTTTTTTTTAAATAAAAAACCCCAGCTGACTTGTCTCTACAGTTTATTTGGTTTCTGAATATCTTTTGAGTTTCAATGGTTTCATGCCTTTGCCATAGCTCATAAAAGCTGAATGCATAATAAGTATAAAACAATTGTCAAATTTTGTTTAAACTAGTTTTAGATAAAATGTTCCATGTCACTGAGGACATATCAACTTTCTGAAGGTATTTTATGTTAACTACCAGCATGTTTACAACTGCTTGTCTGCTGGTATTAGGGCTGTCGATACACATGTCAGGGATGTCTTTCCTCTATTCACAGCTCTTTTAATCAGTCATTGGCTTATCTCTGCTCTTACTGTAGATAACACTCTGCTCACCAGTAATCACTCTCTATACACTGATGGAGACAGCACACATTTCATTGTATTAGCTGGTAAAGCCTGCGTGTTCTTAATGAGAGCGTGTCACAGTAATGCGTTAGCTCTGGCATTATCAGAGCACAAGAACCTCCTTATCAAACACTTACAGAATCTCATGTATGGAACATCTTAATTTTTATGTTGATTGTGAAATTGTAGGTTGAACTATTATTTTTGTAAATGTTTCAGGACAGCTGATTGTGGTGAATTGATTTTGTCTCAATTGTTCTGTCTCAATGTTTTTTTTTTTTTTTTTTACAATCAAAACCAATGATAGAAGTTAGATTTTAAGTTAGTCGGAGGCCGTATTTTCACCTGTTGTCAAATAACGAACGGAACAGATGTCGGAGGCAACCATAACAATAGTAAACTGCGCACGCGCAGTATGATCAGTATCGGGCGGTCACTTCATTACAGATTAACATAATCACAGTATATCATAATAAATGCTTTGTTTAAAAAGTCTTAGATAATTGACGTTTGGCGAACTAGTGGCAAGTTGCGCAAGACGAAACTCGACAGATTACACCCAGAGAAGTATCCTTAGGCTACAATTATGTACAATAATCATAAACAGAATGCTTTAAACATTCCTACAAAACAGACGACCCCACTGAAAGTCATTGTAAAAGTCGCTCACTTGTTCGGGAATGTAAATAGCCTATGTCTCTGTTGCTGAAAGGCAGAAGTCAAGTAAAGTCACCTTTATTTGTATAGCGCTTTATACAATACTGAAGACAAAGACAAATGAGTGCTGTAATAATTTATGTATAGCTAAGTTTCGTCTTGTCTCGTAACAGGAGAAAGGGCAACGCATTGGCAAACTGGACCCGCGAGGGAAATATCTTCTAAGATTTGCCACTCTATATGTTAGTAGAGATTGAGTTTTTTTCCAGGAACTTTCTAAGGAATTTGAAACGTCCTGCGGGTACCAGCTATCAAAAAACCTCTCAAGACGCGATTGTGCGGGAATAGGCCTATGCCATTACAGCTAGTATAAACTTAACACCATGTTAGATCTTCTAAACTAGAAAAGTGGTGTCTGAGACAGACGATTGTTTTAAAACAGCAGCATCCACACAATCCATCCTTTACTCGTTAACAGGCTTTACAACACTTTTGCACTAGATGGCGCATTCGTCTACATAAAGCGCATTTTGAAGCGAAGGCAAGCAGAAATAGACCATTAGAAACATATTTTTCTTTCTGACACATAAACATAAGAGAGAACGCAGATTAATAAGAATGAATAGGCCTGTTTTCTTTGCTGCAGCCTACATCATCTATATGCTTTTCATCTAAAACAAATTTGTGTGCATATCTTTAATATATTATAGATATCATGACATGCTGGTCACTATATGCTAAACAGCATTACAACAAAGTCAATTGCGACTTTGAGAAAATAAACTAGCAGCATGAATTAGTTTAAGCAGTTTTGACCAGTTAGCATCCAAAAGCGGCCCAGAACTATAATTGACTTGTTAGTTTTTAATTTGAAAACTTTATCTTCGCCCTGGGAGTTTATCTGTTTCAGGGGAAGGCTAGACTCTTCACGGTAAACCTAAACGATGATCTAAAGTTTCATGTTCTGCAAGTCTAATTGAATTCACGAAACGCGTTTATTCTCTGAACGTTCGTACACATAGTTTTCGCTTAAACTGTATAAACAGTCTGTCCTTGTGAGTAAATGTGTTGTTATATGCTGTTTGGTAATACTTTTACGCCATTAATAAGTAAAAATGTACACATCAATAAAATATCCACGTCCTTTATGCCCGATTGCCGCAAATATCATCAAACTAAACATTAAACAGCTGAACACATAAAAGCGGCAAGGACAAACAGCTAAGAGCGCTGGATAATAACCCATAACAACTTTTTGCTTCTACTGACCCCTATCAGAAATTCAATCAACATAATAACGCCGTATCTTATTAATGAACGCGAGGATAGCGTTTCATGTTGCCTCTGCATGATCCAACACTTGATTACTTTCTTAACTCCCCTTCTCATTTCAGCCACAGCCAATACAAAACCTGCAGCAGCCTAATCACTCTATTCCGTGCAAAAACCAACCTTTTCTGTCCAGTCGTAAAGGAGACCATTCAGCAGGACAGTGTCATCTGGGATGTTTTGGATAAGCCCTCCGCGTAACTATTTTGCGATATTCGCCCGCTCTTCGCCAAGCAGCAGCTGCAAGTTGTCTCTTCAGCTTTTGAGCAAATAGATTAAATTATTGATGGTGGAAATTGCATGGTTGAGGTAATGGACTCCCATGACTGAGCGGATCCTTTGGAGTTGGGTTGAAGCAGTTGGATGGCATGGTGAGCGCTCGCTGTGTAGTGCGCATTGAGAGAGCTCTCCAGCTTGAAATGATGGTTTCATTCCTCGCGACTACAGTAACTAACTAGCTACTGCCGTGACGTTGAAACATGTGACTCCAGCGCGAGCGAGACCGAGTGCCAAACGAGTGACACGCTTATGCCTAATGAGTAACCGGAAAGCATGTTATTATGGCGTTTACCGTGAGCCGAAAGGTCAACATATGAGAGAAACCTTTTTAATTCCTGAATATATTGAGTCCTGAATGACGTTTTTTTTAAGTCATCGCATCTTAAGTGCTCCTTCAGTTGATTACCACTGAGTCAGTGTGGGCTTTTGATAGTTTTTCCTTAATAATGAAGGTATATATATAAAATATGATTCCCTTGTTTACCAAAGGGAATCACATAAGCTAATGCGCATTTAGTTTTTTTTTCCAGGTTTCATTTTCGCTGACTATTCGTATTTAGACATAGGAAATTATATAGCCTACACCTGAAATCTGTTTAGTTTCATGTACAAAGCTTCTTTTGTATAACCGGTAAAATAATAATTTATGGTTTTAAGTTATTACATTTGCAGTTCTCAGTTCAAAGATAATTTATGGTTTTAAGTTATTGCAATTGCCATCTAAATCTTCATAGTTCATTCCACTTTAAATTATTCTGCTTTGCAGCCACCAAAGGCTGCAACAGCTTCCTAATGGACAGCCGTTAGGTTAATGAAACACCTTTTTGTGGCAAGACAATAGATCATCTGCTGAAATTGATATTTGCAATTGTGACTCCACAAAGGTATCTTCAAAGTAAAGAGTTCACTCCTTGCCCCCACCACATCAAGGATCTATTATTCCCTGGCCCTCTCTGTATTTGATATTTTAAACTATTGTCAGCTTGAGACCCTCTGTCTGCCAAAGGAGCTTATGTGCCAGATGTTAGTTCATTGCTTTTAATACTATTCATTGTTCTTTCAGTTTCAGTTATATTCCTCCAATAATGGGAGCGGTTTGTTTGATATTTGTAAGGTAAATGGTCAAAGATGTTTAAACTAATAGAGGCAGTGATACAATTTTGCTCTTCGGCTGCAGCTTTACCATTTATCCTATGTCGTATTTGTGAAGAGCAGGCAAAAGCACGCACATCGATCTCAACTGGGAGCTCGACTAAGAAACAAGTGGAAAATATTTTAAATGTAAAGTCGGCAACACCAAAGCTCCAAAAGTATAAAAAAAAATATTTTGTAAAAATTTATTTGCGACAGCTTTTTAAAAAAAAAATTTTTTTTGATACTTTTGGAGCTTTGGTGTTGCCGACTTTACATTTAAAAATTGTTCTATGTCGTATTTAACATGACCTTCCAGGAGGAGTTTAGGAGAAGTATTCCTTGTTCTTTCACCCCATGCTATACACCACATCATTAGCCCCATACTTTCACCAAGACTCTAAAGCTCCAAGTGCTTTTGGATCTTGTCCAATACAAGATTTATATTGATGACTTTGGTGTATAGTGATGATGATTATTCTCTGTATAAGGTAATGAGGTGGAGCAGTTTCAAACCTAGCTGTTCCCAGCATGGGAGTGGATGCTAACACCTGCCTCCTCTCACACACACACACACACACACACACACACACACACACACACACACACACACACACACTCACACTGTGCATTAAGGCTGTTCCAGCTAGGTAATCCATAAATAAATCACTCTGCTTCTCATTAGGAGCACAAAAACAACATGGATCTCATTCAGAACTGCACATACAGCAAGCACAAAGTTGACACCAGCACCACAGACAGAACTAAGATAACCACAAAGTGGACATATGGACTAATGAGAATACAGCAAGAGATGAACTGTGGGAAGACCTTGACTTTCATTTGCTGCAACTTTGTGGAAACTTTAGGGTCCATTAAAATGATGACAAAACATACAGTATGGACATTAGAGCTGAAACATTTGCTGAAACTTGACCATCAGGATTGGCGTGCTCAAAGTGTTGAATGTTGAGAGAGTCGGAGCGGCGTCAGAAGCGATGGCCGTGTCTCTATCCAATAGGTCGGGTCGCTAATGACGTCACCTCAGCTTTCTCAAAAACTCGCCATCTGTTGTCTTGTGTTCTGTCTTGACCCATCGTAGCATATTCCATCCTGTTTGTTTCTTTCTCTCCTTCTCATCCTCATCCTCTATATGTTTGCACTACTCAACTCACATACTTTTACAAATATACTTTCACCTTCACTTGTTTTTGTTTTGACATACTCATGCTTACAGCTCCTTCCTCTCTCCTATAGGGACAAGCCAAGATGAATATAATTCATCCCATAGGTTCACAGGAGGAGAGGGCAAACCCTGGATGACAAAGAGTTGCATCAGCAATTACTGAGCGACATGACTCCAAGAGACCATCTGTTGTCTTGTGTTCTGTCTTGACCCATCGTAGCACATTCCATCCTGGAGCTGACAGAACAGGTCTTCCACACAATGGCAAAAATACGATTTTGAAGTTGCCTTGTCACACTTAATGACTGAACATCTCTCTGAACATGTTGGAGGAGATCTGTGTCCTTTACAAACCTGAAATGGTGAAATAGTGTCCGCTACTCCAGGGCAAGATAACAAAACTTTCAGGGTGTCAAAACTAGCTGTAAAAAAAGTTGATGGCTTCTTGAGTCACTGAGAGAGAGAAAAAAAAGAGCTTTGGGCCAGTGCTAGAAAATAAAGGTTCTTTATTGGTATCTGTGGTTCCGGGAATAACTTTTAACATCCATGGAAACTTTCCATTTCACAAAAATTTTCTTTATAGTGGAAATGGGTTATTTAGATTATATAAAATGTTCTTCACACCAAGAAGAACATTCGTTCCTTCCGATAACTATTATGAACGGTTCTTTGGTGGACCCAAATGGTTCTTGGCACTGCTGCAGAACACCCTTTTTGTATCTTTATTTTTAAGCGTGTAGCCAAGTCTTCACGAACATTTCCCACACAAGCCAGCTGTCAACAAAAATGTGACCCTGGACCACAAAACCAGTCTTAAGTCGCTGGGGTATATTTGTAGCAATAGCCACTTAATTTTTGATTGGTAATATGCATTGCTAAGGACTTAATTTGGATAACTTTAAAGGCGATTTTCTCAATATTTTGATTTTTTTGCACCCTCAGATTCCAGATATTCAAATAGTTGTATCTCGACCAAATATTGTCCTATCCTAACAAAACACAGCTTTCAGATGATGTATAAATCTCAATTTTGAAAAATTGACACTTAAGACTGGTTTTGTGGTCCAGGGTCACAAATATGAACGATAAAACATGTAAATCATGCAGAGTATACTTAAAAAAAACTCAGTTAACGTCGATGATTTAGTGTTGTTTAGTCTGTAATGTGGAGTGTACATTTGACTATGTACACTTACTCAAGTGGGTCCCGTCTTTCCATTTTGTCATTGCATTGAAATGAGTGAGCCACTTTGTGGAACTTAAGTTTGCCCATTCCTGGGTGCCTGTTTCTGTTTCTTTGGTTCGCTGTCTTTAGGGAAGGGAGTCTGGGCAGTGCTTTGTGTGACTCACATCACCGTCTCTCATCTGAGATGCACTCTGTACACTGAAGAATTGTGCAGTGCTCATCTCTCCAATAGCAAGATGTAACAGGTCCCTGGTATCACTAAAGGGCCAATGTGGCCAACAGTGGCCAGCCGTGTAAGATAAAAATCTCAAAGTCTTGACTTATAGCAGCTACATTATAGGACTACACACTTAGATATCCACTTTAGCACATAGACACAATGAGCTATACAATCCACGTAACTGTAATCTATCCCTTGCAGCATACACCAGCTACACTGGTAATGTATCCGTGGGGTATAAGCCCTCTACTGCACTTTATCCCTTTGTACACACATCCTCTGGTAATCTAGCCTTTTGCTTGCCCAACAAACCCTTATGTGTCAAGGGTGAGTATATTTACATAATTAGGTAGACAGTTCTTGTCATGCACTATTGTAACCTGTCTTTTGTGGTTATAATGCATTTTTTGTATATTAATTTCAAATATAGATTTATTAATATACTGTGGACTTATAAAAAATGAATGCATGTGAAAATAAACACTATAAAGAAACATTCCACTTCAGATTTGAAATAGCACTAAAAATGATCTGATTGTCGGTTGTAAGCTCAAAATTGCACTGATTTTCTTATACATTGTTACAAATGAAAATGAGAAATTAAGAACTCAAAAGTGTTCACGAAGAATGGAAATCACTGTTCTACAAAGCAGTCGGAGAGAAAATGCAGTCTAAATGACTTCTAAGAAATGTTAAACATTTAAATGTGGGGGTAAAAAGTTTGCATTGTTCAACAACCGTGAGCCCTTAGAAATAGCAGCAAGTCTATCAAAGTCATGCTCAAACACAAACACAGTCCGGATGCCATAACCAACATCCACAGAGGCACATTGCAAACATGTTAGAGAAGTCCTGCATATACATACCCAAGCATTGACGTTGACGAATAGTTAGAGGATTCCTTGGCGGAGCCTTAGTTGCCAGGCACCAGCACTAATGCTGCTCTGTAGCTATTCACATACAGAGAGGCAAATGCCACTCTATTTTATATCATTGAGTAAAGCACACAGGTGGGTGGCAAACAAGTAGCAAATCTCATCATACAGACCCCATCAAACTGTTCGAATTAGGATGCAGATATATGCTGGAGGTCAATAACATATATCCCATGCACACATTCACAGACACACAAACACCCTAAATGTGAAACAGCAAATATAAATACAATGGGGTCACAACACCCAAAATAGCAAAGTTCTTATCAAAAATCTTACAGAAAAACATACATATCTAGCGTCGTTTACCAGCAGATTATGGAGGAATTACACCATAAAGTGTAGATATCACACGACCTCAAGCAGAATGAGCGCTTTGCGCTAGAGTGCGCGCCCAATTCCTCAAACCTCTTGAGGTTTTCTTGCGCAGAATATCCCGCGATCGGAGGTGCCAATTGACTAAATATCTTTAGACTTGTCCAAATAGCCTCATAA